ACCAAAATCAATAGGGTTCTGCCCACAGATGCCTAGAACATTGTCTGAAATTCTGGAGTTGAACATCATACTACAGTCATCTTTGGCAAAGACTGCCATCAGATTGAGTATAAGGGGAAGATTTTTGGTTGGCTAAACCCATTCATCTGAGTGATTTAACCTGGATGGTGGATGTATGTGATATAACAAAAGGGAGACCAAAATATGAGGTATCTGTCCAGTATCTATTAATGTGTATGTGACCTTAATGTTTAGGCATTATTATTCTCAGCAATGGGATGAGCCCAGATTAGTGTTGACTGAATCATACTAGTTTTTTGTTGTTCAAGTGGAAAGAGGGTGGGGGTGTGTGTTATTTAAATGTTGGCTGTGATTTTGTTATGCTGAGGTTACTCTCAGAATCTAACTATAAAAGTAGGTCTCTAAATTTACTCTAGGTAGGCTTCAAGCATTGATGGGTAAAATTTCCCTTTGCCAGTTATGAGCAAATTGCTTGGTGCAAGTTTGTATGATTAGTGTAGTACATAAGGTGACTGTCTCAAAGCAATTAAGTAAGAGCAAGGATTAGACCTCAGGAAGAAAATTCTTGATTCCTGCCACCATACTAAGGCCACTAGACATAGAGGAAAACTTTGACAATGTCAGACCTGGCTTTTTTTGTCCCTCATCTGTAAAACATACCAGCCTCTGAGGGAATGTTGAGGATTAACATTTTTACAATGTTCCAAATATGGAAAGTTGTAAGAAGAATATAATCAGGGTGAAGACCGAAGGTGGGCAGCAGAGGAAAAGGTATACAGTTGCCAACTTTAGGATCAAGTATTTCAAAAATGACACAGGAAAACTTCTTTATCCATTATCATAGAGTACTAGGACTAGAAGGGACCTTGAGAGGTCGAGTCCAGTCCCCTGCCCCCCATGGCAGGCACAAATACTGTCTAGAGTCTCTAGACCATCCCTGATAGACATTTATCTAACCTACTCAAATATCTCCAGAGATGAGGATTCCACAACCTCCCTGGGCAACTTATTCCAGTGTTTGACCACCCTGACAGTTAGGAACTTTTTCCTAGTGTCCAACCTAAACCTCCCTTATTGCCATTTAAGCCCATTGCTGCTTGTTCATCTTGGCCTCTGAGGATAGAACAAGTTTTCTCCCTCCTCCTTATGACACCCTTTTAGATACCTGAAAATGGCTATCATGTCTTCTCCCCCACCCTCCCAGTCTTCTCTTTTCTAAACTAAACAAACGCAGTTCTTTGAGCCTTCCTTCATAGGTCATGTTCTCTAGACCTTTAATCATTCTCGTTGCTCTTCTCTGGACCCTCTCCAACTTCTCCATCTTTCTTGAAATGCGGTGCCCAGAACTGGACACAATACTCCAACTGAGGCCTAACCAGTGCAGAGTAGAGTGGAAGAATGACTTCTTGTGTCTTGCTCACAACACACCTGTTAATGCGTCCCAGAATCCTGTTTGCTTTTTTTGCAACAGCATTACACTTCTGACTCATATTCAGCTTGTGGTCCACTATAACCCCTAGATCCAGCTTGTGGTCCACTATAACCCCTAGTAGTGCCGTACTCCTTCCTAGACAGTCACTTCCCATTCTGTATATGTGAAACTGATTGTTCCTTCCTAAGTGGAGCACTTTGCATTTGTCTTTAGTAAACTTCATCCTGTTTACCTCAGACCACTTCTTTCAGGTCATTTTGAATTATTACCCTATCCTCCAGATTAATCGCAACCTCCCTCCCAGCTTGGTGGTATCTGCAAACTTAATAAGTGTACTTTCTATACCAATATCTAAATCGTTGATGAAGATATTGAACAGAGCCGGTCCCAAAACAGACTCCTGCGGAACCCCACTTGTTATACTTTTCCAGCAGGATTGTAAACTATTAACTACTCTGACTATGGTTATCCAGTCACTTACGCACCCACCTTATAGTAGCCCCATCTAAGTTGTATTTGCCTAGTTTATTGATGAGAATGATACGATCTCGCACGATGACTAGGTTTACCACATCCACCACTTCTCCCTTATCCACAAGACTCAGCTTTCTTTAATAGGATATCAGATTGGTTTGACAGGATTTATTTTTTACAAATCCATGCTGACGGTTTCTGATCACCTTGCCACCTTCCAAGTGTTTACAGATGATTTCCTTAATTACTTGCTCCATTATCTTCCCTGGCACAGAAGTTAAACTAACTGGTCTGTAGTTTCCTGGGTGGTTCTTATTTCCCTTTTTATAAATGGGCACTATATTTGCCCTTTTGCAGTCTTCTGGAATCTCTCACGTCTCCCATGATTTTCCAAAGATGATAGCTAGAGGCTCAGATACCTCCTCTATCAGCTCCTTTAGTATTCTAGGATGCATTATCTTCAAGAGCTGTTGTGGGAATCCTGATGAACAAATGCATTGTATATTTGATCTGAGTTTTGAAAGATTTGTGTGGATTCTAGTACTTCATGAAAGTTAGATCCTTAGCTGTGACATGCTCCTGAGAAGGTGTGATCTGAGAATCTGTCCTTGGGGCTCCCTTCTCTCTGTCCCTAAGCCGTTTGTTACCTGCACATTTGCAGCCAAAAAAAGTCTTCAATACTGATTAGTAAAGTGTTGCCTGTAGCCTAACAAGTTGCATCGCTAGACATTATAAGCGATGATAGGCTGAATAATGCAGGCTGAGTCTCTGCTTGTCTACCTTAGGCTGTATCTTTTTTTTTGAGGGGGAGCACTTTTCAGTCAAAGCAGTCTATCCCTGTCAGATGACTAGCTTGGAGAAGACAGGTGGAAATGCCCATATCACTATCTCAGCTTCATTGGGAAGCTATAGTGCCTCCATAATCTAGTGGAAGGATTTCAAATTTGGCAGGGGTATCCTGCCTCTTCACATCCCTGTAAAGTCTCTAATTTAGACAAAAGTACTAACTTCTGAAAAAATTGGTCAAGTGCTTGCAGACTTGTTAAAATTTGTCAGCTAAAATCTCTGAAGATTCAGTCTTAGCTGAGCATGCTACTTACTGCCTCTCACTGGGGTCTGCAAAAGCTTTATCCCTACAGAACAGCTGTGCAGGACTTTCCCTGTAACTGCTGCATGAGGATGTTTGGCAGCACAATGTCTGGACACCAGAACAGAGCAAGGAAGACTTCTGTGATTTCAAAGGAATGTTACTGATACTACAAGCAGTCCCCAGGTTACGTACAAGATAGGGACTGTAGGTTTGTTCTTAAGTTGAATCTGTATGTAAGTCGGAACTGGCGTCCAGATTCAGCCGCTGCTGAAACTGACTGCCAGTTCCGACTTACGTACAGAATCAACTTAAGAACCCCAGGCGTCCCCAAGTCAGCTGCTGCTGAAACTGATCAGCAGCTGATTCCAGGAAGCCCGGGGCAGAGCAACTCTGCCTCGGGCTTCCTGTAGTCAGCACTGGTCAGTTTC